CTGATAAGCTTCATAAGCTTTATTGTACTTTTGTTGAGCCATATAACAACGCCCAAGAAGATACCACGATTGAGCATCATTGCCATCTAAATGTGAAATATTCATAATAAATTAATAATAAATCAATAATAAATAATAAATGTTATAATTATTATTATTATAATTATTAATGTAGCAATAAGGGCATTACTACTAACCAGATTCCAGTGATTTTGTTAAATATGTGATAGCCAGATCTTGATTAGTAAAACTGGCACTTTGTTGATGATAAAGCCACCCAAGCTGTTGTAGAACCTTAGCGTGATTTGGGTTATCAGTTAACACGCGTTCATAAGCTTCTTTAGCAGATATAAACTTGAATATAAAATGTAATTAGTTTATATAATGAATAATGAAATAAAAGTCGAAAAAAGTTTTTTTTTTTTTATAATTATTTATGCTTACGTTCTTTTGTTGCTCATATACGTGACCAATTTGGAACCAAATATCCACTTCAGTCAAAGGTCTTGGAGGATTATGTAATATATATTTAAAGCACTGTTATAAATATATATATAATTTAAGAAATTTAAGAAATTTAAGGAAATTAAGAAAATTAAAATGACGAAAATTAAAATGACGAAAATCATCATCATCAATGCACAGTGACAGACTCACTTCCAAGCTCTGGTCATACTTCTGTTGTTGTTTATATATGATTCCCAACCTAAAATAGATCTCATTGGCCTTTTCAAATTTAGGTTCCATTCTCATAACCTGAGAGAAAGCTTCTTCGGCATGGTCCAGTGAACCATAACGATCGTATAATATACCGATTCCGTACCAAAGCTTAGGTTCCTTTGAGAAGGTAAAAACATCGAGTAAAAGGTTATGTAGATGATAAATAGATGAAAAGTCGAAGATTCGACTTCAATAGCACACCTTTGGATTGGGTAAATGGAATAATGCTTGTTGATAAGCACCGTATGCTTTCTGAAGGTCATCCATCATTAAATAACAATGACCTATATAAATAATAGAAAATTTGATAAGAATTGATAGTCACATGATTAATGATCAAAAGTTTAAGAGAAATAAAAAAAAAGTATATTGAGATTTGACTAAATTAAGGATAGATGGATAATACACGTGAAGTAAAGTAAACAAAGAGAGTAAGAGAGTAAAATAGGTATAGAATTACCTAAAGCACCCCAAATTTC